ATCCTTACTAACAATGTTGACTGTCCGCCACCGTGCCGCTGAGCACGGAGTGGGCGTGTCCTCAGGTCCTTTGCCCAACCCTCTGAGCCCCAATCCTCACTCCCGAGCACGTCTTGAAGGAGCCCGGAGCCCAAGTCTCCCGGGGCTTGGCGCAGCTTGTCGCTCGACTTTTTCGGAGCCAAAGAGGCCCCCAGGAGGCCCCCAAAAGAGCCACGCACGGTGCGGAGGATCGCGCCGCATCGCCAGTGCATCGCCGACGTGGGCCATGCATCGGCGCCATCGGCGTGGAGAAACTCTGGCACCACATCGAGCCGCATCGGCGATGCATCGGCGATGCGGCGCGATCCTTCGACCCCATCTGCTCGGAACCCATCTGGGAGGCACTACAGTCAACCCGAATAGTAAGGATGGGCAACCTTCCCAGGGGTACCCTTGCATCCTTAGCTCATCGGTCCATCCTTGACAACTTTCGTTGGCCGCGCCCCGCTCGAAAAACTTCGAAATGGGCGTACAAGGCCCTTGCATCCTTATCGCGCATCCTCATGATACGGGCCGACGCGACCATCGTTGAAAAAAATGCAGCATTGTAATCAATCGCGACTGGAGCCCCAGACCCCATCTTTCCGCGTCATTAGAGGAGCCGCATCGAGCTGTATGGGTCCCGGGGACCGAAAAAACTGGCAAAAACGCCTGTGGTGGAAAAAAAGCAGCGCCAAAATTTGAAGGCTGGCACCCGCCTGGGCGAGGGTGCGGGGAATACTTTTGTCTATATCCTCCGCAGATAGGAGATCCGGGCTCCCTTCACCTGAAACCCGAGGTGCACTGGATATGGATGAGTTTGCCACCCAGAGGCTCGATGACTATCCACATCCAGTGCGCTTCGGCCTCGTGGCGCCACCTCCAAGAAAGTCCAGGACGCACCGGATATGGACGCAGCTCTTGCCGCAGATGGGGTGAGGGGCAGCCTCTCGCCCTGGGAGGCCGCCCTCGATGGCCCCAGGGGGGAGGGGGGGGCCCAGAGTTGAGCAAGGACCGACCGTCCCGGCATTCCTATAGTCCCACCACGCAATAGAACCCAGATATGTTCTAAAAACAAAAACAATGTTGTTATAACATAAACCCGATGTGTCAAGATAAGACAGTCCCAGCCATACATGTTATAAGAACATGTCGTGGGAACCGCAAGAGGTGTTTTAAACATTGCTTGGCAGGGCTATCGGCGAGCCAGGACGCTTCGCCACTGCTTGACAGAGGCGGCGCCCGGAGCCCGCCAGTCCAGGCGAGCGCCCGGAGGCCGCGCACACCAGGAGAGGCTACCCCCCCGGGGACCTCCCCGAGGGCCCCGCCCGTCTGCACCCCGCCCCGCTCGCCCCGCACTCGGCCTCTTTGTCGTGCAGACGCGGCCACCTGTCAAGCCCCCCCTCGCGTCGTGAAAAAATCACGACGGGAGGTTGTTCGTTATTTTCGGCCTCTGGGGGCCCTTACCGGGCCTCAAAACCGTCAACAAAACGACTCAGGATGAAAAGCCGGTCCCGAGGAATGGGTCCAGACCTCTGGGGATCGCGTCATGCAAAAATCATGACGTCGGGGGTCTGGGTGTCCACCACCCCCTCGCCGCGGCTGGGCGTGAGGGGGGGGAGAGACCCCGCACCGGGTGCGCCTCCCGCGCGCCTGGGGGGGCCCGCGGCCTACTCCCCCGCACGTCGTCGCTCCGCCTCCCTCCTCGACACGCCCCGTTGCCTCCCTCGCGCGCCCTCCGCCGGTTCCCTCGCGGCCGCCTTCGCGCCCCTGCCGGCGATCGACGTCCGAAGACTTGCGGCGGGGGAACTCAATCCCACGGCGCGGGATGGGAAGGAGGGTGGGATGTCAGATGTGGCGCGAGCACACCCACCTTGTGTGTCCACCCTCCCCCCCTCCGCCGCTGATACAGTGAGCAAGTACACGATGATGCACGGTGCACGTTTGGATTCGTGGCAGAAGTTTAGAGAGCAACAGGCGCTCGCTAAGGCCAGAAACCTACACGTCACATGGGAGTCAGATTTGCTCTCATCATTTCCCCGCCCGACGCCGTGGGTTACTCTGATGGACGCACGGCGCCAACGCGCTTCTACGACAACGTCCCTCGGAACAGAGGCACCCAAAGCTCCCAAGGGGTCGGCGGGGCCCCCGCTCTGCATCCCCCATCCTCTATCCTCCTGTAGCCTCCTCCTCCTCTTCCTCCTCATCCTTCCTCCTCCTCCTCCTCCTCTCCTCCTCCTCCCTCCTCCTCCTCCTCCTCCTTTCTCCTCCTCCTCCTTCCTCCTCACTCCTCTCCACCTCCTCCACCTCCTCCCCCTTCTGCCACCCCCTCCTCCCTCCACCCCCCGCAACGACAACGAAACGAGCATCGAGCCTCGGGCGCGCGCGCCGCGGGGACCCCGCCAGCCGCCGCCGCCCCACGCGCGCCGCCGTGCCAGAGTCAGGGCCGTCCCCGTCGCCGCCGCCATTTTTTTTTTTGAACTCAACGCTCCACCTCTGTATCTCGACATGGGAGGTCGAACGAGCCGAGGACGACCGGCACGAGCACCCAGACGAAGTAGAGCAGCGACACGAGGAGGGGCGCACAGCTGCGCCCCGATGCAGGCGAGGCCACCTCTGATGCGTTGACCTTCGATGATGACTTGACCACACCCCATGCCCAGCAAACCGAAGCCGCCGCTGCCGGCGTCACCGTCGCCGCCGCCGCGGTCGCCGCCGCCGCCGCCCGCGGGGACCCCGCCAGCAGCCGCCGCCCCACGCGCCGCCGTGCCAGAGTCGGGGCCGCCCCCGTCGCCGCCGCCATCGGCAGAGTCAAAACCGAAGCCGCCGCTGCCGGCGTCACCGTCGCCGCCGCCGCGGTCGCCGCCGCCGCCGCCGCGGTCGCCGCCGCCGCCGCCGCCCGCGGCCCCTCGGAGGACGTGCGGCGCGGCGGCCTCGCCGAGCCTCCCGACGATGGCCCCGGCCGTGCCCACGCGCACGCCGACCTCCTCGGCACGCCGCGGGGGCGCGCCGGGCGGAGCCGCGTTTGGTCTCTGTCGTCGCCGCTGTCCTCGTAGGTCGTCGTCGTCGTCGCCTGCGTCGACGTCATCGTCGTCGCCGGGGCGGGGAAGGGGGAGGGAGGAGGAGGGGGAGGGGCGAGTGGGAAGGAGGGGGCAAGGAATAATGCGGGGCATGGGGGGAAGGGGGGGGAGGAGTAACGGGAGAGGGAGGAGATGATGAGAAGATCGGATCGGATCGACTCGCGCGTTGCGCGTGTCGTGTGACGTAGAGATATGCACACCGTGCGTTACTGTGTGCTGACCTCCTACCTCAGACAATTCGCCCATCTGGTGTGCGACGTCATGAGTCACGCGCACCATGCAGCTTGTGCACATATTCAGCTAGCATGAGGAGAAGAGGATGGAGAGGAGAAGAAGGAGAAGGGTGACTGCAAAGGGAGATGGTGGGGGAGGGAGGGGGGGTGGCGAGGAGGCGGGAAATGCGGGAGGGAGCATGGAGTAATGAGGACTGAGGAGCAAGCGAGAGAGAGGGGGGAAGTGGAAGAAGGGAGGAGAACCTAAGCGAGAGGAAGAGAGCAGGATGGAAGGCGGAGGGGGGAAGCCCTGGACTCCTAGATCCTCCTAGAAGCCAGTGTGTGCGTATACTGACTTGTAATATCCCCAAATCCACCGAACACCTTCCTCCGCCTTCTTATCGTTGTCTTACGCATTAGTGCTCATCCGTCCTCGTTCGTCATCATACCCCCCCCCCCTCCCCCATCATCATCTGCAAAAAGCGCATGATCTTCATCATGATCACCGGCATTGCCATCATCAAAATCATCATCAGCATCATGATCCTCATCAGCATCGTCGTCATGATCACCATCGTCACCATCATCATCACCACCATCATCAGCAGCAACGTGTCACTCCTGCTCCTCCTGCTCCTTCATCCCTCCCTTTCTCCCTAATTCATCATTCCTTCTGTTTCTTCCGGGCCTCCTCCAACCTCCACATTATGCTCCTCCCCCGTCTGCTCCGCCCCCTCCTCTCACTCCTCTTCCTCCTCCTCCGCCTCCTCCTCCGTCTGGCTCCTGCTCCGCTCAGTCGCCCTTTCTTTCTCTCCCTGGAGGGGCTCGGTAGATCTTTAGACTGCGGCTCCCCCCCCCGCTCCCAATTGTCCCAGCGCGGTGCAGGTCAGACACGTACGCATCTGCCGAGGTCCGCCACCGTGCCAGCACGGAGTGGGCGTGTGAGAATGCCGACCAGCCATGACTGGGGGAGCTGTGGTCCGTACCCCCCCTGGGGGAACCCATCGCCTCGACGATCTCTCGAGAGGGGTGTCGAAATCGATGGGCCCCCCAGGGGGATAAGGACCACAGCTCCCCCAGTTGTGCCTGGCCTGGAATGCTCGCCTGCTGTCTGGGACGATGTCTCCATGTTTTCTGGGCCCCGCCTCCACCAACACGCGCGTGGTCCAAAAACCGCACCCTCAGAGATTAATGTCAGGCGCTCCGTGCAGCCTCCAAACGGCCAAGATGGCCCCCCAGGACGGCCACTCAGGCAGCCAAAACAACGCCAACACGGCTCCAGATTGCGCGAAACGGCCCAAGAGGCTCTGAGGACGACCCCTAGGCGGCCCCGAGAGGCCCCCATAGCAGCCCAAGGGGGCTCCAAGAGGCCCTCCAAGAGAGGCTGAGGAGTCCAAAATAATGGATTTGCCGCAGACTTGTAAAGAATTTCAAGGGTTTCGCCTCGTTCGGCTCCCGACCGCTCAAGACGGCCTGAGGAGCTTCCAGGTAGCTCCAAGACGGCCCACGAGACCCCGAACAGGGCCCCGAGTCGGCCCAAGAGGACCCCAAGATCGACCAAGAGGCTTCCAAGAGGGCCCCAAAACGATCCGAAAGTGCTCCAAGAGGAGGGCACCAAGACGGCCCAGAGAGGCCCCCCAAACGGTTTCCGAATGCGTCAGGCGGGCCACTCGCCGCCGTAAGATGGCCCCAGGAGGCCCCAAGAGGCCCCCAAGCGGCCCCAGGAGGCGCCAATGACGATTTGCTTTGTTGAACCCGAATTAAAAGGCAACCCGCTTCACCCGTTTAGATCCACCCGCTTATATTCACCCGCTAAATTCCAACTCAACTTTGCCTGCATTGAAATTCATCTGGTTTGACGGCGCCTGGTTAAGTTCGCCCGGTTGTCACTCGCCCGGTCTAAATTAATATGGTTTTACATTCGCCTATTTCAGCTCGCCCTCTCAACACACCCTCCCGAAAAAAACGTCAAGTTTTAATTCGACCTGGTTTACATTCATCCAGATTGAATTCGCCTGGTTGAAACCCATTCGATTTTCATTCGCACGATTGAATTTCATCCGGTTTCAAGTCGCCTGGTTTACATTCATGTGGTTTCAACTCGCCCAACTTGACTTCAGATGGGTCTCATTCGCACGGTTGAATTTCATTCGGTTTCACTTTGCCCGCTTAAAAGTCATTCGGTGTTCATTCGCCCAATTTACATGCATCCGATGTTTATTCGACCGGTTGAAGTTCACCCGTTCCTAAATTCAACCATACACTGGCACTGGAAAAATGAAAACGGCCAACTGTGAGCCCGCGAAAAGCGACGACGACGACGACGACGAAGACGACAACGACGACAACGACGATGACGACGACGGACGACGACGGACGACGATGATAACGATGACGATGACGACGACACCGACGACATCGACGACGACGACGACGACGACGACGACGACGACGACGGCGACGGCGACGACGACGACGCCCATGCGCGCGCCCACCCGCCCGCCCGCCATCGTGCGCGCCCTCTCGCGTAACCGCCCGCTCGCCCCGCCCGCGCGCCCGCCCGCCCGCCCGCGCGCTCGCCCGCCCGGTCGCCGCGCCCGCCCGCCCGCCCGCGAGCCTGCTCCCCCTCCGTCACACCTTCTCCCTCACTGTTGGACGCCCGAAATGGATACGGAAGAAGTGGGCACAATGACCAACAACAAATTTTGTCCCAAACCAACAGCGGCCGCTGTTGGGCAGGCGGCCTTCTGTCTCGAATGGACACAGGCCGCGGCTGCGCGGACAGCGAGTCCAATTCAACATGAACAGGAACTGCTGTTGCGCATTGTACCCATTCTTTCTGTACCCATGTCGTTCGTGCAGATCACTCGCTCCCCCGAGGCGGCCACCAAACCGCGCCCGGAAGATCGGGCGCGCGGCGGGGAAAACTCCTTCCCCAGCACCCGTGGAGGGGAGGCTCGTGGCTCCCGGCCCGCGCGACCCCCTCGGAGCCCGGGCGGCGTGGCCAGGGGGGAGAAGGAGGGCGAACGAGGGAGGAGGAGGGAGGAGGAGGGAGGAGGGAGGGAAGGAGGAGGAGGAGGAGGAGGAGGAGGAGGAGGAGGGAGGAGGAGGAGGAGGAGGAGGAGGAGGAGGAGGAGGAGAGGAGGAGGAGGAGGAGGAGGAGGAGGAGGAGGAGGAGGAGGAGGAGGAGCTGCAGGGGTTCCGGGAGCGCGCGCCGCCTCTGGAGGGCCGAGGCGCACGCGGCGCGAGCACGCGTGGCCGGTGCCGAAGGAGTGGGAGCGGCGGCACCGCCCGCGGGAGGTGGCAGGTCCGAGGCTGGCCCTGCACGCTCTCCTCCCCGCGGCCCGTCCCGACGACGGGCGGCTCGAGGGCCCCTCCTCCTCCTCCTCCTCCTCCTCCTCCTCCTCTCCTCCTCCTCCTCCTCCTCCTCACTCCTCACTCCTCTCCTCCTCCTCCTCCTCCTCACTCCTCCTCCTCCTCCTCCTCCTCCTCTTCCTCCTCCTCCTCCTCCTCCTCCGTTCCAAGGGTCCGCGGCTTCAAGGGGGCCATCTGCTCCTCGACGCTGCCGGCGGCAGCCCGATGGCCCAGTGCGAGCGCCTGACCTGCGACCGGGGCTGCCGCAAGCGTGAGGTGGACTTCGGGCCTTGCGGGTAGGGCGCAATTTTGGGCCATTTTGAGAACCGCTTCTGTCACGAGCGGAATCGCACAAAGTCTATGTCGGTGTCGTTATCCACCTCCGAGCAGGCCGTCGCCAGACGGAATGCACAGGCCGTCCGCAAGCAGCAGCGCGCACGACATGAAGGAGAGGCGGGAGAATCCGAAGAGACCAGCAGCGCCCTGACAGACTCGGACCGCCAAGGACTCGAAAAGACCGATCGCTGGCCGTGGACCAGCGGTGTCCATTCGTTGCGCCGCCAAGTGGACACCCCGAACCAAATTGCTGCGGAGAAGGCGGACGGCGAGGAAGAGGAGGAGGAGGAGGAGGAGCTACTCGCCCTGTGCCTACTTTGACCTGCATGAGTTCTCTCCCACCCTCCCCACTGGGCATTGGCTGAAATGGGAAGGGAGGGAACAACGTTGACGTCGAGGTCTTGGCCTGGATCCGCGCGGACATCCCGCATCGCGTTTTTTCCGCAGCGTTGAGCCCGAGAGGTCTGGCCCCATTCCCTCTGGCCCCATTCCCGGGGACCCAGTTCTCGTCCCGAGTCGTCATTGCACGGCACAGGGGGCATGCTTAGTGGCCTCCAGAGGGCGGAGATTACCAAAAGCCCCCCGTCGAGATGATTGACACGACGTAGAGAAACAGAAAAGCAGTCAGGTCAGCGCTGGGCTCCAAGGGAGCTGCTTGAGTGGCACCATTGAAGGGGCCCACAAACACACAAATATATACACACACACAAATAAAAGGATTCCCCATATCTTCTAATTTTTCTGGGTTTTTGTCTTCCCCCCCCACTTCCCATATTTTCCCATATTTTCTTGGGAGTCGAAGATTAATTGTGTCTGTGTGTTTTTTCCCTCCTGAACCATGGCCACCAGGGTCACCCGAGCACCGACCTGGCAGGTCAGCCGTGGAACGGCCGCCTCAGGGCCACAGCGATTGAGGTCAGCACTCGGGCCTCCCAAGCATCACCCGAGGGGGCCCGCACGACTCGACGGCTGGCCAGACCCGTCTCTGCTCCCGGACGACGCGGGAACGTCAGGGCCAAGAGCGCAGGGCGCCTCGTTCAGCAGCAGGTCGTACAGCGCGACCACGCGCTGGCCGAGGCGGAAGCCGCCGGGCAGGGGCGCCATCAGGGCCTGGCGCGCGCCCGCTGCCGCTGCGGCGGGCGTTCTCTCTCTCTCTCTCTCTCTTTCTCTCTCTCTCTCTCTCTTATTTTCTCTTTCTCTCTCTCTCTCTCTTTTTCTCTCTCTCTCTCTCTCTCTCTCTCTCTCTCTCTTTCTCTCTCTGAAGGCCGCGATGGGCCCCAGCGAGCCCCCGAGCAGCGTCGCTGCTCGGGCGCTCGACGGGGCATCCAGAGACCTCCGGAGGCCCTTCGCAGGCCCTTCGTGAAGGGCCTTCGCGCAGCCTTTCGCGCAGGGCCTTCCAGGGAGTTCTGGAGACCGCTGAAAGCCTCTGAACGCATCTGGCATTCGTCGTCGCTCCCGCTGTCGTCCTCGCCCTTGCCCTCGCTCTCGCCGTCGCCGTCGCTGCAACCCGCCGCCGCGGGCGTCGCCATCGCCGTCGCCGCCTCCGTTTCCGCCCCTGCCCCTGTCGCCGTCGTCATCGCCGCCGCCGCCGCCGCTGTCGTCGTCAATGCCGCCGTCGTGGTGCAAGGCGCCACGACGGCGGAATGACGGTCCTCCGGGAGCAGGTTGACACAGAGCTCCGAACCGTCCTGCGCCGCGCCACGGAGGGGAGGGAAACAGTGGAGGGGGAAAACGGTAGAGGGAGGGGGAGGGGGAGGAGGAGGAGGAGGAGGAGGAGGAGGAGGAGGAGGAGGAGGAGGAAGAGGAATAACACGAAGATAATCGTGCGGATCGTGCGGATCGTGCCGATGAAATCCGTTCGCGAAGGCCCCACGGACTCGCGCCGAGGGAGCTCAGGCCGCAGCGGGCCGACCCCGGGCCGTGCCAAAACTCCCGGGGGGCCCTAAAAAAGTGACTTGGTGGTGGGGAATTAAGAACCCTCCCCCTTCCGGCGAAAGTATAACGCACCGGGCACCCCAGAAGCATTACACTGGCACCTCGCACCTTAACGCAAACGAGTCGACCCGCCGAAACAAGCAAACCGCCTGAGACATTCTCGCAATATGGTCTCCTTGTGGTTATGAAACAAGCGCCTCGACTGAGACATCCTCAGAAACTGCTCTGGACGCAGACGAGTCTGCGTCAGGTGTTCGGTCTGGGCGAGAACTGGAGTGGCCACGCGTCTTCCCAGCGCTCGGCCTTCCGAGCAGGGGCGCCCCAGCAAGGGAGAGACCAGCTTTGAAAACGAACCGTCCGCGCCTACGATGGTAGGCGAATGATTCTGGTGGCGCGGGTGCTAAGATAACGCGCCGTGCGTGGCGGGGGCGATATCGTCGGATGCACTACCCCCACACGACGGCCGGGACAAACACATGTTTCAATAGGGGTGGCAATTAGAATCGTATAGGACAAGGATGATGAAGGAAATAAGAAAAATGGAAGGCGGGAGGAAAGAAGCAGGGAAGCCCGTCGGCCTTCTGATTTGTATCATTGTATGTATTAGCATTGGTACGTTTACTAGCATTCGTATTCTTAGCATTAATCATAGTTTCATGATTATCATTGGTCTTATTGTACTTCTCGTCATGTTGGACTAGCTGCCGTTATTATTTTGTGCGGGCGCGGTGCTAAGATAACGCGCCGTGCGCGGCGGGGGCGATGTCCTCGGATGCACTACACCACACGACGGCCTGGAAAAAACAATTGTTCAAGGAGTGGTAACACAAGTCGTATAGGACAAGGATGATGAAGATAATGATGAAAAACTAATAATATTCTTATTCGTATAATTATTCGTACAATTAGTATTATTCTGCTTTCGATTAATTGTATTACTATTCTTACTACTACTCGTATGTTTACTCGCAGTCTTACTCTTATTCGAATTAGTTCTCTTACTCTTCTCATTCGTATTATTATTATTCGTATTACTACTCTTACTATGATTAGTATTATGATTCGCATTCTTAGTATCAATATTCGTAAGTATCTCTTTTTCCTGTTATCATTCCAATTCCAATTGGGATACCACCCGAGCTGGGGCGCGGGAGTTACTGTTGTTCGTTGTATTTGCGCGGCGTTAATCATATCGTTCGGCGAAGACCGCCCCCCTTAATTATTTAAATTCGGCGCGGTGCTAATGATAACCCCCGGGGATCACCCTCTGGGCCGAAGGGCGCCACAAGGGAAAGGATCAGATCGACTCGGCTGGAGGAAACGCCAAGCGCGGCAGCGCCGTCTGGGGCCCCTCTTCGGGGAGGCCACAAGTGTGGAACTTAAAGACAATCATGACAACATCTGCATCCCTCCCTGCCCGACGAGAAGGGGAAGAAGCAGAGAGGGAGGAGGGAGAGGAAGATCTTCAACGAACGTCGGGGGAGGTGGACTGCGGGCGCTGCGGCTGCCGAGTTTCCCACTCCTGCCGCGCGGACTGGCCGCGTAGTTGCACTATCCACCTATTGAACGGAGCCGTGGAGCACGCGGCCCATAAGGTCGTCTATCCCCTGGCGTAGTCGCCGAAGTTCGGCCTCATGAGTGTTCGGCGAAGCCGATGAGGCCGATGAAGTACCCACCCAGCTTGACCAATGGCCCTGGCCAGCTCCCTGCGAGTAGCCGTCGCGCGCAATGCTCGGAGCTGCTGCTGGGAGTGTTGGCGATGACCGCGTAGCTGCAGAGGCTGGTGTCGGCTGGCCGCCGCGCCAAGGATCGGCGCTCCGCACGGGGTAGCTGTTGTCTTATCCAGAACCGCTGGTTCGAGCTTCCCGTGGGCTTCACTGGTCATCCAGACCGAATAGGCACCTGGCGCTGGTCGATAAGCGGCTGGCCCAGGCGCCCCGCGGCGCCCCGGGCGCGCAAGTGGCGAGGGTGCTGGCGTCGGCGGCGGCGGCGCTGCTGAGGCAAGGGCGGAGAGGAAGAGCGCGCGCCCTTGCCGGCGCCGACGGGGACTGTCGCGCACGAGGCGCCCCCCGAGTCGCACTCGCGGCGCTCGAGACGCGCCCTGTCAGAGCCCAGCGGGCTCAATGGTTTGCCTCGTCGGCCAAATCCCAGCTTACTGTTCCGATGCTCACCCTTTCCGTCGCCCCTGGCCTTCCCGAAACCGGCGAAAGCGGCGCGGGGGTCGTTGTCGGGCGAGTTGGCCGGGAAGGCGAGGAAGCATTTTCCGTGGCCCTTGCCCTTGCGTTCGATGACCCCCCGCGCGCGGCGCGCGGGATTGTCGCAGTCGAGGCGGCGCCATCGGGAACCGGCGCGCTCGCAAGCAAAAAGATGCGGGACGCGCTGCTCCACGGGAACTTCGCGCAGCCCGGGGCCGTCCGTCGACAGCGATCTCTTCGCCGAGCGCGGCGCAAGAAAGCCCAGCGTCGAATCGATAAGTCGGATCGGCGATCGACGTGAATCGGATCGGCGGTAATCGGCAGCCGAGTCGGGAAATCTGCGGAAATCGGCAGGCTCGCATGCGCCCAATGAGAAATCAGAATTCCAATCCAAATGCCAAGTCGAATCGACTCGGAATCGGAATCCATCGAAATCGAACCGGAAGAATCGAAATGGGTCCTGGCGGTGTCGGAGCCTGCGCCAGAGTCGAAACCTGCCGCTGGATGTGCCGCCTGCGGTGCCGCTGATGCGTCGGCGTTAGCGGCTATCGGTGCTGGATGTGGACTCGGCGCTGCTCCTTACGGCTGAAGGGCCCATGCCACCCCAGCTCGATCCGACCCCAGCGCCACAGGCACTGCCGAGGTGCACGCTCGGCGCTAGGGCCAACGCACTGCCGGGGCAACATTGCCTGGCGAGCCTTCGGTCATACGTCCAAATCTGCGTAGCCGGCCCATCACGCGCGCGAGTTGCGGCGCGCCCGCCGGGCAGGCCATGTAGCAGCGCTGCAGAACCAGGGCGAGCTGGATGCGCGACGTACCCACCGCGCGCAGCAAGTGGTAGCTGAGGCCCTCGTAATTAACCGATCATGAATTGACCTGCCTTCTGAACCCCGTCGCGGGGGGGCGCCGAACCTGGCGCGGAAGTTGCCGATGCACTCCTGCGCGCGCTCCTCCCCTCCAAGCTGGCCCCACCGTTCGCCCAAAAAACCGCCTTGGACGAGGACGGCCGGTGGCCGCTCGCCCACGCGCTCGAGAGCCCTGCCGGTCAAGCGAGACGAAACGCTGGCCGCTGAGTGAAACTCGTGGTTGTTCGAGTTCGCCGATGACCATATCATCGCCTCCCGCACCCGACGTTCGGAGGGCGCGCGAGCCTGCCGCTCGGGCCCCCAGGTGCGGAGGCGTCGAGCGTTGCCGCCGCCGTCGCCGCCCGCGCCCACGCAGGCGACGCAGCTGACGGTGGCGACCACGCCCAATCCGACGGCCTCCCATCCAGAATGGGACCCTCTCCAGTCGTCGAGGATGCGTGACGGCCCTGACACCCACAACCGGCGATGTTCTGGCAGTGATATTCGAAGCCGTCGTGGGTATCTGGCTCTGGCGTGTTCCTCCTCATCCGCGGATTGGGTCTGTTCCTCCGTCGTGCACTTGGCGCGCTGGCTGCGCTCGGAGCACTCCGCCACGCAGTGGCGAAAGATCTCGTCGCGCGTCTCATCGTCACTGTGCTGAGCTCTGCCAACTGCACGATAACCAAAAGGAGCACGAATAAGGATCCGGGTCCGCCAGGGAACAGGGAGTGCACAGGTAACGTCGAGGGTCGTGTTCCCGAGAACCGATCGCCAATAGTCCCAATATGTTGAGATGGCCCCACGGAAAAAATTTAACACAGTAGCCAAATTTGCATTCCCGCTCTTGCCTGCGAGCGCCTCTCCGACTTCCACAACTTTGTTGCGGACAACTCTGGACGTTTTGCCGACGCCGACGATGTTAGCGTCGGATCGAACGACTGCATGACAACGCCGGCGACACCTACGCGCGGATGCAATGGGGACGATGCGTCCTTTGCATATTTCCTGTCGGGTTTTCGCAACATAGTTGCCGAGAACTCGAGGCCCTGTGCCGACAACAAGAGCATGAAATTCAGGTCGCTCGGCGGTGTGACGCTTACGGCGGCGCTCACATGCGAATGGCATGAAGACGAAGGGACCCCGAGCATCTCGTTCGAGAATACCCGAATGGAAGAGAAGGCGGTCGGGGGGCGCGATCAATCTGGTAGATGTTCTCATAGTGGTGGTTGTGCTCCTTCCCCGTGACGACGAAATGGTACAAGAGAATGATCACGATGAACACGGTCCTGTGTGCCAGAGGCGCGGCAGGGGGAATAACACAGTGTCCTTGTTGAGCTTGTCCTTCGGGTGATCGCATATCACGGTGGAGATGGGGAGCCATCGCCGTCGAGACAGGGGAGCGGGGCGGCGCCGTGGCAGCGCGTGAAGGGAGCCGAAGCTCCGATACCCACTGAGAGTAACATGTGAACGGTGTACGGGCGCACTTTTCAGCACGCGGCAGCAGCACGGCTTCTCAGTAACACGAGAATAGCACAGGCACGATCGGTGTACCCATCGTGCCAAACGGCAATGGAAAAGTGAGGCGATTCAGACAAGCAAAGGCAGAGACAAAACAGTGAGCTACCGTTCGAGTGGAGGGAGGAGGAGGAGGAGGAGGAGGAGGAGGAGGAGGAGGAGGAGGAGGAGAGGGAGATCAATGAGAAAGGATTGGAAGAAAAGGAAGAGGCAGGGAGGGAGGATAAACAGCGACAGCAGGAATGGGAGGGAGGACAACAAATAAGGTGGAAGGGGCAGGATGCGAAGACAACGAGGAGAACTAAGAGGAAGGGGAACAAGGGGATGGATCATAGGGAGAGCACGAGTGGAGGAGGGAGGGGCAGGGATGACGAGGAGAAGGGAATATTGAGAAGGTCGAGGAGGACAAAATAATGGAAAAGGAGAAACGGGAAGACGAGAAGAAGGTAGGAAGAAAGCAGGAGGGGGAGAGGGAGAGAGGTGAAGAGGGAAGACAAGAAGGTGAAGCACGAGGAAGAAAACGAAAAGAGAGGAGGGAGGAGAGGGAGGATGCTCCAGCCATCAATATCCTGCGATACTGCTGCGCAGCGGCGCAGCAGCATGTTGCGAGGATGGAGGATTACGACGACGACGACGAGAAGGGAGGAGGAGAGGAAAAAGGAGGGGAGGTATGAGGAGAAGAATAAGAAGGGAAAGGGAGGAGGAGGAGGAGGAGGAGGAGGAGGAGGAGGAGGAAGAGGAGGAGGAGGAGGAGGAGGAGGGGGGGGGGGCAAAAGGAGCAGAAGGAAGAGAGGTAGGAGGAGAAGGCCCAGCTCACCGTCTGTCCATCTGCCCGTCCGTCTGCTTATATGTCGTTCTCACCTCTGTCTCTCTCCTCTGACATCCCTCGCATACCCATCTACAGTATGTCGCCGCGTCGCCGCCTGCTTCTCTCACTCTCTTTTCTTGGTTGCACTCGGGCAATATGTTGCCTACACGGCACGGGAATCGACGAGCACCGTCGCGTCATCTATTCCTCGAGATCGCGCCCATCTCCACCAGCACACTCGCTCAGCCCAAACCACTGGGCACGATTGACGCGTCGGAGGAAGATTCCAGCTGATCTTTCTCCCCCACCCCATGCCATAGTCACATCTGTCCACACCCCGCCCGCCCGCCGCACGCTCCAGGCGCCACGGACCTCTGCTACTCGCTCGCGCACTCCCCAGAGCTGGGGTGGGAAGGGGGAGGAAGGGGGCGGAGGTCAGGATCATCGCAGGGAAGACAGGCCAGGGGGGCCATCGCAGGGTCAGAGCTGGCCCCCGCCGCGCAGAGTCCGCCCCGTGGCGCGGGCCAGCTCCCGTCCCACGGCTCGCGACTTCTGCTGCGCCTCGCGGAGGCTCTGCGGAAGGAGCCCAGTGAAGCCCTCGTCGCCCGAGGGCGAGTGCAGAGCACGGAGGAGGACTGCAGGGTGAAACGAAGATGCGCTCGTCGGCAGCACCCTGGTGCTGGTAGTCGCCGTGGCCCTCGGCCGCGGAGGCCTCGGGCGGAATGCTGCGCTCCAGTGGCGCCTCGGGCTTGCTCCGGAGCTCCGTCAGCAGCCCCTCGAGGGCCAACTCGACCCTCTTACGTTCACTGTCTCCGTGGAACCACAGCCCACGAATCTTCTTCGTTGTGTCCTCGACCTGATAGAAGACGTGGCTCGTCTGGCAATCAAGCTCCCAGTCTGGATGAAGTTTGCCAATAAGAAAGTTGTTCTTGTTCATCTGGTTCTTCACGAGCAGATGATACCTCGGCGCAGAGGAGCGCCGCACGAGACACACGAGCCCTCGATGCTGGCCTTTCGCCACCTACGTAGGGGGATCGGCGGCTCCTGCTGAAGATAGTACGCCGCGACGAACTGGGACCGCACTACGACGATATGCTCGACGTCGGGGTCCTGCTGCAGTAACAACTTGAAACGGGCAGACATGTCGGCCATTGCTATGAGACTTGCACCCTGCTGCCACTTTGGCAACTCCGAATCAACCCGCCTGCCCCGCGAGATAAATGGTCAGAATATAACCCTGACTTCCTGAGCCAAAATGACTACGAACCTGCTTATCTCACTCTTGGTCGCTCACTCCTTGCCCACGCAGCTGTCTCTGAAACCTTTGGACGTGGGCGGTTCAGCGGGCTGGCCATTCCAAGGTAGCCCAGCTGTCCCTCTTTCGGGCTGGGGCTGCACCCCGCCTGATAACCCCCTCCTCTCCGGGCCTGGAAGCTCATTCGCGGGTCTGCTCGCACGAGACTCGTCAGAACGCTGCCTCCGTCGGGCGGGCGGCAAGGGGGGGGGGACCCAACTAGGGGGTGAAGAACGGGGCCCTGACGCTGGAGCTCTCGACCCCTTCTCTGGGGAACGGCTCCTCGTCCCGGACCGTGCCTCGACGGCCTCCGGAGAGCCCGAGCAAGGGCCCCCGAAGGCAGACCGATGCGCAAAGCCCGCAGCCTGACTTGTTCGAGACGCTCGAGGTCCAGGGATTACCTGAGATCAATGCAAAACGACCGGAGACTGCCTCCGAGACGGCGCGGGAGATAACCCGAGACGAAACCTGGGCGTGGATAACATCGGGTGAGAATGACATCGAGAATCTCTGAGATCTGACGGCTCTGGAGGATGTCTCGGGCGCCGCGGCCGCTTCAGAGATTTACAGAACGCTCTGAGAGCGTTCCGGAACGCTCTGGAACGGATATATCTCCATTCTAGACCCGTCCGAAGAGAACCCCGAGATGCAGGAAAAGCATAGACAAAAACGTATAAAAGGGTGTTTCGCTCGTGCTCGCCGCCACAGATCTGGGACCGAGCGACTGGAGAGCAAAAAGCAAACACACACACACACACACACATTCTTTTGAATGTATGAGGCGACTACTTGGCGGACACCGGAAGCCCTGAACCAAACACACAGACATCTCTTGAGGAGGCGAAACTTACTCCCGTTGGCGTCCGCCGGTGGGAGCAGCCTCATTGTACTTCCGCCCAGTCAGTTCCGCCGGCCTCCCGCCGCCCTCCGCCGAGGAGGAGGTGACAACTCTAGAGGAACAACACATGGCATCAACACAAACCTGTCGGATCTCCGCGCGGAATTCTCTAGGGGGCCACATGTGAACCCTACCCCTACCCCCCACGATTTTTGAGGGGAGGGTGGGGTTCACTTCGCTGGGGAGCTCCCGAACGAAGTGAACCCCACCCTCCCCCCCGGAAATCGTGGGGGGTAGGGATAGGGTTCACATGTGGCCCCCTATTCTCGGATCGGCGCTTGGACCTCCCTGGCGGCGCCTCCGGCGCCGCCCCTGGTGCGCTCCGCGCGCCAGGGAGGGCGATCGTTGCGTCATGGCGAGCTGGAAGTGGCGCCGCAGCTGGCATCTGAAGGCGCAGCAGATACCGCTACGGCTACTCCCCGGACCTCTCCCAGAGCGCTTCCTGACCAGGAGTTCGAGGCGAATCCAACTGTGGCGACGAGGACCTCCCGGGAAGCCCCCAAAAGGCAAAACAACGGAAGGGCAGCGGCGTCGGTACCTTCTCCCCCTCTGAGCTGCTCCATCTGCTCCGAGGTGAAGCGGCGGACACCCAGACCGAGCTCCTCGCGCTCGTCGAACTTGACGGTCACGTGGAAGCCGTCGGTAAAGTTCCCGATGATGATGCCCGGCGTGCCCTCGAGGTTTGGCGAGGAGGACATCGGGGACTGCGGGGATCACTTAAGGAGAGCAGGATCAGTCAGCCTCGAACCAGAAAACCAGACCGAATTGGAATGTGCGTCGGATCGGGCTGCATCGGCACAGAGTCGGCATCGAATCGGACCTGCTGCGTCAAGATGCACACAGCGCCGTGCAAGCATCGGACCGGAGGTAGGAAAGATGAGAGAGGGAAGGAGGGAAGGAGTAGGAGACGAAGACAAATCCGTATAAACGTACATACAGCACCTTCGCACGAAGTTCTTGGATCAGCGCTGGACCCCCTGGCGCTCTCCGCGCGCAAGGGCATGGGGGATCCAGGGCCGATCAAAGACAGCCGTGCGGACAGCTCATGACTATTCAGTTTGCTTCTCTGCGAGGGAAAGGGGGAGGCTTTTTGTTGACCCAGGATGGGCATTGCAAGATGCGTCCCGCTGAAGCTAGCACTAGGGTTGACTGGAAACAGATCCTGAGGGCCAATTCGATAATGAACCGTGGAGGAGCCGAAGCTGCAATCCCCGACTCCGCAGGCCGATGCCTCATCCACTGAGCCACTGGGCCAGTGAAAACAAAAAGGGGCCGGACTCGTCCTAAACATGGACTGCGGATCCGCGGATCTGGCGCATACCAGTGCCGCCCCATTTGGCGACGGAGCGCACCGAATTTGCACGAGAGCGGGACCTGTCGCTTACTCTCGCGCCTTGGCTCACGGTTTGCGACTCATCGAAGGAATTGGCGCCAGCGCCGTCTGGGAATGGCCAGGGGTAGCCAATTCCGAGACAGCGACCACGCGAATTGTGACGCTACCGGCCCCCTCGCCCCCCCTGCCTCCCACGCCGGGTAACGGCCAGTCTGATGGGATGACAAAACCAGGCTCCAGTGAAGGGGGGGGAGGGAGGAGGGATGCCAGGGTCCAGGGGCGAAAAGTCGACCCCAGACCTGTGCTGGGGTACATTCTGGCCAGACCTTCGAAAGTGGATCTAGCCCTGGAGGCGAGAGGACCCCCAGAGGCGAAGACAAGGCGAAAAGCATCCAGACGAAAGGGGGAGGTACGGCAGGTTCGTGCGGCGTCGGCGCGCGCAAACGTTGTGACAGCACGTCTATCGTTCAAGCCATGAACCGATCGTGGCCCCGATCGTTTTCAAGGTTGACTTCCGTCGGGTCCAGTGGCGTCACCGCGCCCCTCGGTGCGTCCGCGCTGCAGAAATCAAACTTGCACGCCTTCGCCGGCGTCGCCAGCGATCCCACGCCGCATGAACCTACAGTCAAAAACCCTAATAAGGACGCGCGGTAAGGACGCAAGACCCTTGGAAGCCGAAGTTGGGATTTTTGGGGCGGCGGACGACGAAAACCCCAAGGACGCAAGAGCAAGGAAGAGCAAGGACGCAAGGGTACCCTGAGCAATATCGCGGGTCCCTGTTAGGGTTTTTGACTGTAGGTACGCTCGCTCCACATCTGACATCCTACCCGTCCCACTCGTCTCCTCCTATTGCGCGGGCTCTTTCGTATCCGCCGATGGGTGTCATGGCAAGCCTGGAGCACCCAGTATGACCCCGTCGCGGTGTGCGCAGGCATCAGAGGGAACTGCGCGCGTAGGAAGAGGTGGAGGAGGATGAGCAGAATGATGAGCAGGAGGAGAGGCACGAGGAGGAGGAGGAGGAGGAGGAGGAGGAGGAGGAGCAGGATCAGCCGCAACAGCAGGATCATAAATACGAGGAGCGGGAAGAGGAGGAGCTGGAGGACCAGGGAAGGCGGAGGTGAGGGGGTAAAGAGGCGCAGCAATGACGAGGAAGAGCTGCGACCCAGAAGTGAGGCCCGCGCTGGGGCGATGGCGCCATTCTGAACGACGGGAGCAAGCCGCCGATCCTGGAATGAGGCCAACGCTGCAACGCGAACAGCATGTTGAGAAAACAAAGCCTCCCCGATTGAGAAAACAAAAAATGAAAGACCACTCTTAAAATTCTTTACGTCAGAAAAAAAAAGGCGGCCGAAAATGGGCCACGCTCGGGCAAGACCCAAGAAGAGAGGACAATAATTTTCACATTGACTACGTGAACCGTGGAGGAGGGAAGAACGGAGGTGGGAGGGAGTGAAGGAGGTACCGAGGAAGACATGTAGGTAGGGAGGGCGGGAGAGAGGCGAAGGGAGGGGACTGGGAAAGAGAGGGAGAAAGAGAGAGAGAGAGAAAGAGGGAGAGAGATTGCCTGAGGGTCGCCCGTCTAGCTGGAGCCGAGCAGCGGCGGGGAGCGCTGAGCAGGACCAGGGGCACGAGGACGCCAACTATTTATAAGCGGACAATGATCCTGGCGAGGCCGGGGGGGAAAGGGAGGGGGTGGGGAAGAAGGATGGGGAGGAGCGGGGGAGAGGAGGGGGGAGAGAGAGAGAGAGAGAGAAAAAAAAAAAAAGAGAGAGAGAGAGAGAGAGAGAGGCAGGGACCCACACCCCCGACGTCGTCATGTTTGCTCCACAACGTTGACACCTGGAGGGCTGGACCCTCTCTCTCGCCAGCGCGGCGTCTCATCCCGGACAATTTTCAAGCCGCCCCAGGGCTCGGCAACCCCACAAAGGTCGCGAAAATGGTCAAAGATCTACGGTCGTGAAGCAGCGTGACGTGCGAACGTCAGGGCCTGAGGGTCGAAAGTCGACCCCTCGACCTGCTTCGGGGCGCGCTCTGGCCCGGATTTCGGGGCGGATCCAGCCGTGAGGACGAGAGGGCCCCTGAGAGGCCACCAGAAAAAAACGAGAGACGCCCAAACGACAGGAGGGAAGAGGGGGGAGGAGATGGGAAAGGAGGAGGAGGATCGATCGTTGGAGTGTCTCGGCGGGGCCGAGCGCGGAGTGGCCGCCTGCTTGACACCGACGCGGCTGCCAAAGATGACGTTACGATTGGCGGCCACCTCCTGGCACGAGGTCTGGCATCGCCGCCGCCCTCGATCCTCCTCCTCCTCCTCCTCATCCTCCTCATCCTCCTCCTCCTCTTCCTCCCTCCTCCTCCTCCTATTCCTCCTCCTCCTCCTCCCCCTCCTCCTCCTCCTCCTCCTCCTCCTCCTCCTCCCCCTTCTCCTCCTTTTCCTCCTCCTCCTCCTCCTCCTCCCTTTCTTTCACGCGCATTATCATACCCTCATCTCCTCCTCCACCTCCATCCCTCCCTTCCCTCCCATCCTGCTCGTTGTGGGGCCGCGCATGGAATAGAAAACGTGTGCAGACGGGCCTCTCGCCGGGGGGCTTAGGGTGTCGGGCTGGGGTGAGGTGGGAAGGGAATTCCTCTTATCCTCCCCATTCCGCTCGTCCGTCTTTCCCTCCCTCCTCCTCCTCTTCCTCCTCTTCCTCCTCTTCCTCCTCCTCCTCCTCCTCCTCCTCTTCCACCTCCTCCTCTTCCTCCTCCTCGTCCTCCTCCTTCTGCTCCTCCTCCCCATCCTTTTCCTCTTCCTCCTCCTCCTCCTCCTCTTCCACCTCCTCCTCTTCCTCCTCCTCGTCCTCCTCCTTCTGCTCCTCCTCCCCATCCTTTTCCTCTTCCTCCTCCTCCTCCTTTTCCTTGTCCTCCTCCTCCTCCTCTTATCCTCCCCGTTCCGCTCGTCCGTCTTTCCCTCCCTCCCTCCAGGCTGCGCGCTCCATCCGCAGGGCCCTTCTTCAGCAGGCACGCTTCGGCAACGGAGGGCGACGTCGGTCAAGTTGGGCTGGGCAGGGCCGGGGGTCCCCTCTATCCCCAGGGGAAGGGTCCGTTCCCCCTCCCCGACTGCTGGTCCGCAGGGATGCTCAGCGCACGCTGCTCTGACGGCGGGGGCTGGGGGATGAGGCGAAACCCCTGGCAGTTGATGTGCGGACTCTCTGCTGGCCCGTCCCATTCCTGACGGCCGCTGCCCCCTCCATCGCGGGCCGTCTGGCACGATCGGTGGCCATGGACCTGCCCGCCTGGAGGCACCATGGTCGGCGTGGGGATGCTCGGTCGCGGGAGCCTCCTCCTGCCCAGCCAGGCAAACCAAAAGCATCCGTGCCTGGGGAGGTGAACACCGCCCTGTGAGCCACCCCGGCCAGCCAGCCTGGGCTCTTCCCTTCCCCATTCCCCTTCCCCTCCTCCTTCCCGCCCTTTCTTCCATCCTTCCCACTCTCCCCCCTCGGGGTCCTGCCAGGCCTTGAAGCCACCCAGGCACACGTCGTCGTCACCGGCGCGCTCCTCAACGTCCTCGCGGATGCGTTCCTGCACTCCCGCGGGGCGGCACTGTGCGTGCAGGCAGGAGGAGGGGGGGAAGGAGAAGAGGGGGGGGAGGGGGGGAATGAGGAAGGAGGAGGAGCAGGAAGAGGAGTAGGAGGAGGAGGAGCAGGAGGATTACCAAGCTCGCTATCAGCGTAAAGGAAACCGATACCGACACCCATCCTGAGATATGGAACGGCAACATGCAAAATGGTACCGGAGAGTTGGACCATTAATCCACCGCTGTTCTGCGAAGAACTGGGGCTTGTGTCCAGTAGTTCACCAGCAGTAGGTGACATCCAGAGACGGGCAAGGCCCACAGCCTGATCTTCCGATGTGGGGATTCCACTGGGGAATGAGACGGTCACTCGACAAGGTCGGCCGACCCTTCCACGTGTGCCCGAGAGGCCCCAGAGGTGAGGAGCACCAGCAGTAGCAGGAGGAATCCGCAATTTCACATCGTAACCCCAGCAGAGTATCATCCATCCTCGGGGCGGCAGGGAAGCATGCCCATGCCCTCGGCCCTTGGTTGATTTAGTTGGTACACATTCTTTACGGGGCCAACTCCCAAAACTCTGAACCCAAACATGGCGACGCCTCTTGCAGAAACATATTCTCCCGCCAGCTTGCGCCGACTCGCCGACCTTCTGGCGGCTTCCGCTGGCGGAACCGCCCTCGCCTTCCTTCCGCGGGTTTCCGCCGACCTTCCGCCGCCCTCAGCCGAGAAAAAAAAGGGCAACGTCTCGGCCCCTCCAGCGCGAGGCCCTTTCCGGAGCGCACCAGACTGGGCAACGATACCCAAGTCCACACACACACACACACAAAACACATCTATGCACACACGCACACGCACACACTTCACTCCAACACGCGCCTGACTCCGAGTCCAATACACGAACGCATAGTTACGGGTTAGGTCAACAACGAATCATGGTCCTACTGGTCCTAGCGAAGCGGCGCGGAGACGATGACCATGAAGACGTGTTTCGCGGCCCGCTAAGCCGGACGGTGCAGGAAAACACGGAGGGCCCTAGCAGAATCACAGGCGCTGCCAGAACATGATCGACCCACGAACCCGGAAAGGAACACAGTAAGGCATGGCAACGTCTCAAAGACACCTGATTGGGCGACGGGCAAATGCAATGCTGAGTTTGTCGATCTTGATGTACCGTGACGAAGGCTGTGCTGTGCTGCGCCGTGCTGAATTGCGATGCGCCATGCCGCGATTGTGCTCTATAGCGTTGTGGATCGAGTCCTCCTTTGCATCCCAGTCCTGACCGAACTGATCTGGATCTTTAGCTCGAGCTACCTGAGCACATAGTAGCTGCCCCACAGCTAATTGACAAGGGGACGTGCTAGGAGGGCGCGCCGCGGAACGTTTCAAGGGACGCGCCAGGCAACGTGCCAGGGGACGTGCCATGGGGACGCACCACGGGACGTGCCAAGGGGACGCTTTATGGAACGTGCCAATGGACGTGCCACGGGACGTGCCAAGGGACTCGCCACGGGACGCGCCACGGAACGTGCCAGGGAACGTGCCAGGTTGCAATGCTGAGTGGATCGATCTTGATATACCGTGCCGAGGGGTCTGCTGTGCTGCGCTGTGCTGAGCTGCGATGTGCCATGCCGCGATTATACGTTATAGCGTTGTGGATCGAGTCCTCCTGTGCATCCCAGGCCTGACCGAACTGATCTGGATCTTAAGCTCGAGCTGTCTGAGCACATAGTAGCTGCCCCACAGCTAATTGACAAGGGGGCATGCTAGGAGGGCGCGCCGCGGAACGTTTCAAGGGACGCGCCAGGCGACGTGCCAAGGAACGTGCCATGGGGATGCACCGCGGGACGTGCCAAGGGGACGCGTTACGGAACGCGCCACTGGACGTGGCACGGGACGTGCCAGGGGACGCGCCGCGCGACGTGCCAGAGGGACTCGCCACGGGACGCGCCAGGGAACGTGCCAGGGAACGTGCCAGGTTGCAATGCTGAGTGGATCGATCTTGATATACAGTGCCGAGGGGTCTGCTGTGCTGCGCCGTGCTGAGCTGCGATGTGCCATGCCGCGATTGTGCTCTATAGCGTCGTGGATCGAGTCCTCCTTTGCATCCCAGTCCTGACCGAAATGATCTGGATCTTTAGCTCGAGCTGCCTGAGCACATAGTAGCTGCCCCACAGCTAATTGACAAGGGGACGTGCTAGGAGGACGCGCCGCGGAACGTTCCAAGGGACGCGCCAGGCGACGTGCCAGGGAACGTGCCATGGGGACGCACCGCGGGACGTGCCAGAGGGACGCGTTAGGGAACGTGCCAATGGACGTGCCACGGGACGTGCCAGGGGACGCGCCACGCGACGGGCCAGGGGAACTCACCACGGGACGCGCCAAGGAACGTGCCAAGGAACGTGCCAGGTTGCAATGCTGAGTGTATCGATCTTGATGTACCGTGCCGAAGGGGGCGCTGTGCTGCGCCGTGCTGAGCTGCGATGTGCCATGCCGCGATTATACTCTATAGCGTTGTGGATCGAGTCCTCCTGTGCATCCCAGGCCTGACCGAACTGATCTGGATCTTAAGCTCGAGCTGCCTGAGCACATAGTAGCTGCCCCACAGCTAATTGACAAGGGGACTGCTAGGAGGGCGCGCCGCGGAACGTTTCAAGGGACGCGCCAGGCGACGTGCCAGGGGACGTGCCATGGGGATGCACCGCGGGACGTGCCAAGGGGACGCGTTACGGAACGCGCCACTGGACGTGGCACGGGACGTGCCAGGGGACGCGCCGCGCGACGTGCCAGAGGGACTCGCCACGGGACGCGCCAGGGAACGTGCCAGGGAACGTGCCAGGTTGCAATGCTGAGTGGATCGATCTTGATATACAGTGCCGAGGGGTGTGCTGTGCTGGGCTGTGCTGAATTGCGATGTGCCATGCCGCGATTGTGCTCTATTGCGTTGTGGATCGAGTCCTCCTTTGCATCCCAGGCCTGACCGAATTGATCTGGATCGTAAGCTCGAGCTGCCTGAGCACATAGTAGCTGCCCCACAGCTAATTGACAAGGGGACGTGCTAGGAGGACGCGCCGCGGAACGTTCCAAGGGACGCGCCAAGCGACGTGCCAAAGGACGTGCCATGGGGACGCACCGCGGGACGTGCCAAAAGGGGACGCGCTACGGAACGTGCCGATGGACGTGCCACCTGATGCTAGACATCCGCCTGGGCGAAAGTGGAAGGGAAAACAAGTGGTTCGCTCGAGACGTCCTCAAAACATCTTCATGTCAGACGTCCGTTCCAGGCCCCCAGGAAGACCCCAGGAGGCCCATGTTAGGTACTCCCTAGGTGGCCTGGACACGTGAAAGCACCTGATTCCGCCATGTTAAAGACCCCCTGGGCGGCCTGGACACGTAAAACCACGCGGCTTCAATTCGGAACAATCATGTTAGATAACCCCTGGGTGGCCTGGACACGTAAACACACGTGGGGCCAGCTCTGGGCAACCATGTTAGATACACCCCTGGGTGGCCTGGACACGTTTAAACACGTGATCCTTGCTCGGGGGAACTATACTAGCCGGCCGCTCTGCGGTTGATCGGGAGTTTCTGTATATAGAAGAAGGTGCGTGCGCTTGTTGGCGAGGGTGAGGATGAGGTTCCTCCTCCTCCTCCTCCTCCTCCTCCTCCTCCTCCTCCTCCTCCATCCTTCTCTTGCCTCCGTCTGTCCTCCTCCACCCCGCAGCTCCATCATCTTCTCCTCCTCCTCCTCCTCCTCCTCCTCCTCCTCCTCCTCCTCCTCCTCCTCCTCATTCCTCCTCTGGGCACCTCCCCCGGGGCGCGGATCCACCGGATCTGTCCGGATCTGTCCGGAAACGGTGCCGGAGGCCGCTCTGGGCTCCTCTGGGCACCTCCCCCGGGGCCGGTTTTGTGAGGATGTCTCAAGCGAGGGCGCCGGTTTGGGATTCGTCCCCGGATCCAGCGGATCCGTCCGGATCCGTCCGGAAACGGTGCCGGAGGCCGCTCTGGGCTCCTGTGGGCACCTCCCCCGGGGCCGGTTTTGCGGGGATGTCTCAGGCGAGGGCGCCGGTTTGGGATTCGCCCCCGGATCCAGCGGATCCGTCCGGATCCGTCCGGAAACGGTGCCGGAAGCCGCTCTGGGCTTCTCTGGCCACCTCCCCCGGGGCCGGATTTGCGGGGATGTCTCAGGCGAGGGCGCCGGTTTGGGATTCGTCCCCGGATCCAGCGGATCCGTCCGGATCCGTCCGGAAACGGTGCCGGAGGCCGCTCTGGGCTCCTGTGGGCACCTCCCCCGGGGCCGGTTTTGCGGGGATGTCTCAGGCGAGGGCGCCGGTTTGGGATTCGTCCCCGGATCCAGCGGATCCGTCCGGATCCGTCCGGAAACGGTGCCGGAGGCCGCTCTGGGCTCCTCTGGGCACCTCCCCCGGGGCCGGTTTTCCGGGGATGTCTGAGGCGAGGGCGCCGGTTTGGGATTCGTCCCCGGATCCAGCGGATCCGTCCGGATCCGTCCGGAAACGGTGCCGGAGGCCGCTCTGGGCTTCTCTGGGCACCTCCCCCGGGGCCGGTTTTGCGGGGATGTCTCAGGCGAGGGCGCCGGTTTGGGATTCGTCCCCGGATCCAGCGGATCCGTCCGGATCCGTCCGGAAACGGTGCCAGAGGCCGCTCTGGGCTCCTCTGGGCACCTCCCCCGGGGCCGGTTTTGCGGGGATGTCTCAGGCGAGGGCGCCGGTTTGGGATTCGTCCCCGGATCCAGCGGATCCGTCCGGATCCGTCCGGAAACGGTGCCGGAGGCCGCTCTGGACTCGTGCTCTTCGCGCCGGGGGTGAGGATGACGTGAGTTCCACAGAAACTCCCTCAAATTAGATACACCCCTGGGTGGCCTGCACTCGTAAAAACACGTGGTGCCAGCGTAGGGCAATCATGTTAGATACCACCATGGGCGGCCTGGACACGTAAGTACACGTTGTTCCAGTTCGGGACATTCATGTTAGATACCCCACTCAGTGGCCTG